CAATACCAGTCCATTTCAGCTCACTAATGCCTAAGATATCGATGTTTATGCGTTCCATTTCATTTTTGACAACTTCCAATTTTCCCAGGTTCATACTTCGTACATTCCATGTTCCAATTTTCAGTGGACGTTTATAGCTGTTTTTCTTCATTTTGAGTTGTAGCCCATCAGCAAATGAAGGTCCTGGGTATTTAGTCTAATAAAATGTATTTTTTACAGAGAAAAGCTTCAGATCCAAGCCGATTTACAAACCGTGGAGGAAATCTTCTAAAAGAGGAAAAGCAACGCTCCAAACTCCAGAAAACACTCCCTAAGGTGGTTTGTTGCTGAGACTCTTTGGCGTTTGGCACTTTCATACTCATTGCTTTTGATTGTTTTACCCCCAAACTGTCTTGTCTTCCAAAGTTTAGACAAGGATTTATAACTATGATAATACAACACTGCAAGGTTGGCAGTTCAAACCCATCAGCTGCTCCTTAGAAACCTTATACATGGTCGCTATGAGTCGGAACCTACTAGACAACACTTAATAACAACAACACAACTGTGCCATCCTAGTGTATGCAAAACCATCAAGACGAACTTCTGAGAAAGTGCAATGAACTTGCTTGTTGTATCTGTTTTACTAATGATCATAGTAGAATTTATTGAGCTAAGTGTTACTGTTTTAAAGGACTTTTCCTTTATTCTTACAACAGTCCGATGAGGTTGTTTATTATTTCCATTTTTATCAATGAGACTGAAGCTCTGAGAAATTAAGTAATTTTGCCCAGTTTTTCACAGCCACTAAGAAGTAGGTTCCGTCTTAGAGCCCAGGCAGTCTGATGTAGTAGCCTGTGCTCTTACTGCCTGCCTACTTGAGTGTCACTGCACTGCCTCCGACTGTAGACATCAAAACCGTAGTGGCCAAACACGAGTTCTTGCCCTTTCCACCTTCATATGTGTTGTGAGTGAACTGTCCTTAGCCTTTGCTCTTTGGCCACTTTTTCCTGCATTCACTGGGCTCTACCTAGCTGATGGTAAGCTAGTGGTGCTCTGAGAAAGAGGAGTCATTTAGTAGAATCATTTCATTCAGGCTTCACATCAAAAATCTGAAGTAATTAGCATGGTTTGTTTCTGTTGTCAGCTGGAAGAGGAGTTGAAGGTACGCATTGAAATGTGGGAACAGGAGCATTCAAAGGCATTTGTGGTGAATGGACAAAAATTCATGGAGTATGTGATAGAACAATGGGAGATGCATCGGTTGGAAAAAGAGAAAGCCAAGCAGGAAAGAGTAAGTGTGGACACAAATTGAAAAGAGGAAGAGAGTCATTTGAGCAGCCTAGCCCCTGCCAGGGATCAGGGTGGGTGGAAAAGCAAGGAGCCCATTGACAACCTTTTTTTTTAGCTGACATGGCATTAGGTTTCTGCACCCATCCCAGATCTGCTCTCACTGGGATTTAACTTTCACATAGCAACTGAAAAACAAGAAGCAGACGGAGGCAGAGATGCTCTATGGCAGCGCTCCACGGACACCCAGCAAGAGGCGAGGACTGGTACCCAACACACCAGGCAAAGTTCGCAAGGTAGATACAGGCTTTGTAAATCACTGCTCAACTTCTAGAACAGAAGGGATGGGAAAGGGGTTTCTTACCTTCTAGGTTGAGTCCATTTTAAAGGTGTGAGGGGAAGATAGGAGCTAAGTTTAATCTTCAAACAGCTGAGGAGTGGCCGGTCTTCTTTTTTTTTTTTTTGTAAATTGAAGCAAAGAGTTTGATTGAGGAATTAAAATATTTCTTCTTGAATTGGGAAAACAGTTGAGATGCTCTCAACAGAGTTTTGTACACTGAAAAACAAAAGAAAGGTAGACCGGTAATGATTGTTGATAAGATTGATCATTTTGTTAGGGGGCAGTGAGCCAGCAGGCTTGGCCTTAGCTATTTTTTATTTATTGATTTATTGATTGATTGATTTAGCTATTTATTTATTTTTTATTGTGAATTATGTGATAGTTTACATGGGAGAACATTAGTTTTACATTCATCCTATCGTATAGTTACATTGCCATGGTTACGATCCCCTCCATGCATCATCAAACAACCAAAGGGTATACACTACAAGCCTGCCCCCCAGTCGTCAGCACCCAGCCCCTCTCCCCCTCTGGGTCTACAGTCCCCAACTGCTCCATCTCTCCATGTCATCATCTCTGCCTCCATCTCAGGCATCACTGATTCTCTGGGTAGGGTCCCACACTACGCTCTTCTCCCTTGATGGTCCAGGGATCTCCGCTCTTGGCCTGCAAAGTCAACCACTCCCTTCCTTTTGCTACAAAACGTCTACCTTTATAATTCCATCGCTTACAGTCAATCCTGATAGCAATTATTCACTATTGTACCGCAAGAGACCTATCCACATCTCCTTCCATCAGCCCTGCCCAGACAGATTGGATATTACTCAGTGGAGATTCTACCTTCCTCCACGCCCTCTGTATCTAGGCTTCCTCTTGAAAGCTTGTATGCCAGTCACTTCTTGCCTTTGTAGCCTCCCCCATTTTGGGTAGCCAATGTCCAAGTTGCCCATCCCTATCTAGTCTGTGTACGGAGGGGGTGGGAATGATCCTCACTATAAAGATTTGTTCTCCCTTTTGAGCTATTGCATCCATAGGTGTAGGTCACATTCATCAAATTGTATCAGATTCCTCTTTTTGTCTTTTCTTTCTACTTCTAGTTGAGTTCTGATCCTCTAACCATTGAAGCCAGGTCAAGTGGGTATTATCTGCAAGTGTGGGTGTTCTTAAGCATATGCCCTCTCCTCTTATCAGCTGGACGCTTCACTCTCTAGTCCTCTGTGGCTATGTCAGTGACTCTGGGCCCAGGAGTTCCCAGGTCTTGCCATACTGCCTGACAACCAGGTCTCTACCAGGGTTCACAGGAGTTTATTGAACATTGTAGGGCTTAGCTTGTAGCCTCACTGTTTTTTTCCCCTCACTTCCCCTTATCGTGTTCTCATCGCATTTTAGTCTTGGAAGGGGGTTTGCCCCCAGGGAACCTGATCACTTGCCATGATGTCTCCTGGGCAAGCAACTTGCTTGTTCTTGACAGTTGGTCTTTAAGAAGTGTCTTCTGTTCTTCTAGCTGCTCCAGGCTGGCCTGCTTGTCCTTTCAAGTGGAAATTTTCCACCTCAAAAGATTCTGGATGGGGTTCAGGATTCCACCTATGGTCTTATGTAATGCAGAGGCTCCACAGGAAGCCTCCTTCATTGGCTATTCTTTTTTTTTAATTAACTTTATTGTGAGTAGAGTGAAAGTATACAGAGCTGATGATCAGTTTACAATCAACAAACTACACACTTTGTTTCATCTTGGTAGCAGCCCCTCCACACCACACTGCACCACTTACCCACTTCCTCTCTGCCTTCCTTGTTTCCATTCCTCCTCCTTTCCCCACCCTTCTGAATCTTTGTTGTTGTTGTTGTTGTTGTTAAGTGCCATCAAGTCGATTCCGACCCATAGCGACCCTGTACAGGGTTTCCGAGGGTGTAAATCTTTACAGGAGTAGAAAGCCTCATCTTTCTGAATCTTATTCTTAGGTAAATGCTGCCCTATTGGTCTCCAGTGGTTGACTATTCCATGGTGTGTGGACACGCCCACGACTTTCAGATCTGAATGGTGACCAAGGGTCATAGTCTTCTGGGCCCACCAGTCTCTAGCTGACCAGTAAGCCTAGTCACTGTTATGTTTTTTAGACTTTTTATTGTGAGTTAAGCAAAGGTTTACAGAACAGATCATCAATTTCACATTTAACAAATCGTACACTTTGTTGGATTTCGGTGATTACAATGCCCTCCCTATAGCATTGGCTGTCCCACTTCCTCCCTGTGATGCTTGTTTCCATTTCACCTTTCTTCCCAACATAGGTCTTTGGGTAAATTCTGCCCTTTTGATCTTGAATGGTTGACCATTCCATAGTGAACATCTCTTACTAGGTATTGTTGTACTTTCTATATACTCTGGTAGTATAGTGGTTACGAATCGGGCTTCGAACCTTGAGGTCAGCAGTTCGAAACTACCAGCCACTTCGCGGGAGAAAGATGAGGCTTTCTGCTCCCGTAAAGGTTTACAGCCTCGGAAAACATGTATAGGATCGCTATGGTTCGGAACCGACTCAACAGCACTTAACAACAATCTATGATTTGGCTGAAAATTGAGCCATGAAGGTGAGTTTTGTTACACATTTTCTATCCAGGACCTTATAACGAGATCCCTTTCAGAACAAAACAGTTGGTAGTGGTAGCCTAGTTTCAGGGTCGTGGAGATAGATTGATGTTCACATGTTCCATTAGTGCATTGGACTAATTGATTCCAGGTATCTTCAGTTTTCATCACTCTCCTTTTCTCTACACATGGAGAGACCAATAGTTAGTTGCACCGTAAATGGCCGATCATGAGCTTTGAAGAACCTAGTACAACCACCGTTTCTTTGGGCACTGTGTTATGCTAATTGATAATAGTATCCCCAGAGACTATGGCCCTGAGCTCCCAGGTCCCTAAAGGTGTTAGGAAATGTCTATGTTTTCATAACTTCGCCCCCTGTATGCTCCATCACCTTCGTAAATAATATTTGAGCGAAAGTGAATACTCAACGTATAGATATCCTCTGATGTTTGTGGTGAGGAAAGTGGGATTCTTCCACTTTGCTTGCCAGAGCCCATGCTAGGCTGATGGATCTGTCCATGGACTTCCTGTAGATCACTGTTGTTGGGAGGCTGTGCATGTACAGCATTTACCTCTAGTTCCTTTAACTCTTGCTCTCCCTGCTTTTAACATTCTTACATTACCTTCCCTCTCTTCCCTCGCGGGCCTTTTTTTTCCCGTTTGTTCTGCATTTCCCCTCCCCCTCTACACCATCCTGCTCTTTGGTCTCAGAGTCTTGGAGACTCATGATCTGTGATCCATTACTTGGATGGGCTAATTGTTTCTAAGTGTCTTCCAAGTTTTTTCCTGTATCAAATAATTTTGCTTTTCCCACACTTTTTAATCCACCTAGAAACCGTCCTCCCTCTCCAATCGTAGACAATAAACTGCACATATTTAAAATGTGCTTTGACAGATTTTGACTCATGTTGTTGTCAAGTGCTGTCGAGTCAGTTCTGACTCATAGTTACCCTGGATAGGGTTTCTGAGGAGCTGCTGGTGGATTTGAACTGCTAATTAGCAGTCCAGTGCACCTGCAGCACCACCAGAACTCCTTATTTGTGACTTATATCAGCAGTTTCCCCATCACTATAATCGCCCCAGAGTTTTCTTCATGCTTTTCTGTAGTTTGTTCCCACGGGTACCCTAAGTCCCGCACAACCACAGATTTCCTGTCCTTGTTGATTCCATTGCATTTTCTAAACATTTTTAGAGATTGGATCATACAGTATGTGTTCTGGTATGTCAGGCTTTGTTCATTTAGCATAATTGTTTTGCCAGGGGCAGATTCCTCTGTTGCATGTATTAATAGGTCCCCCTTTATTATTGAGTAGAGCTCTACTGTATTAATGTACCACAATTGTTAATTCGTTCACTTGTCGATAGATATCTGGTTGTTTGCTTTTTGTTAACTATTACTGAGAAAGCTGCCAGAAACAGCTGTGTACAAATCTTTGTATAGATAATGTGCTTTCAGTTCTCTTGGTTCTTGGTTAAATTGCTAAGAATAAAATGAATGAGTTAGATGCTTGGTGTGTGTTTAGCCATTGAGATACAAGTGGTTATTCCATTTTACATTTCCACTAACAGGATATAAATTATATTTGAGAAGTTTTCACACATTTCCTTAAGAGCTGTGCCATATTAGAAGGAGCCCTAGTGACGCTATGGAGTAAACACTGGGCTGCTAACCACACAGTCAGCAGTTCAAACCCACTAGCCTCTCCACAGGAGAAAGACTGCTACTGTAAAGATTTAAAGCTTCAAAACTCTATATCCGGTCACTATGAGTAAGAATTGACTTGATGGCGGTGCACTGGGGGGTTGGGGGTGTGTGTCTGCAGTATTAGATACAGCAGGCTCTTTAATATGAGACCCATTTTTCCTAGTTCTCTGGATAGGGTAGAAATGAGCACTAGAATTCCAAGGATGCTCTCTCATCAGTAATCTCTCTTCTTAGCTGAACACTACCACCATCTCCAGTACTACAGTCAATAGTAGCATTCGGCCTGTCTTGGGGGGACCAGTCCACCGCTCACCTGTGTCCCGGCTTCCACCTTCTGGCAGCAAGGTTAGTGTCTCTGTATAAACATCCCCAAGCATTGCTTACCCAAATAGACCCCCACCTACTTGCCTCAATTTCTGAGAGTTGTGTATTCAGTTATCAGTGAGACGCTGAGAGCTGACAGGTGTGAGCGAATCATTAGATGATGGTTCAAAAGCAAAATGAGAGAACAAAGTGAATGCTATCCTGTGAGTGGGATGTGAAGAAAGGGCCATGGTCTAGGCCTCAGGGCAGGCCCAGGCATCTGTGGGCGCTGAGCTAAGACCCTGCTCATGGGCTCCAGGACCCCAGATCACTGGACACAGTTGATACTCACAAGATGGAAGTGCTTTTGTGCTAAAATGTGTTCATCGTTTCAAATATGTTATAGGCTAACTTCAAGGTAGGTGTTGTGTAAATCATTTAAAATTCACATCTATTTCTTTAACACTAATCCAGGATTCCAGAGACATGCGTAATAATAAGATGGTATCAGCCTCTGATCATTTTGGGGTATTTTTCATGTAGTTATTATGAGGATAATACATTGATCTCTTCCTTTCTATACAGCCAGTAGGCACTGCCACCTGTTCGGGGAAGAAAACGCCCCGTGCTGGCAGGTATGGAGCCAACAAGGAGAACGTGGACCTCAATGGCAGTTTCCTGAGTGGTGGGTACCCCGACTCCACCCCCCTCCAGCGCAACTTCAGCATTAATTCTGTTGCCAGCACCTATTCTGAGTTTGCGGTAATTCATCTTTTCTAAATATCTACCAGTCTCTGGGGCGCACACAGTTGGGGCAGGGTGGGTATCTTCCCAAGGGTACCCAGGCATTGAGTTAGAACAGTTTTACCTTGGGGGCTGAGAATCCCATTCCCGCCTTGACCATGGTAGGGGTGAAGGTAGGCTAAAGACGGGAGGGGGCAAGTAGGGGAGAAGGTGCAACAACTAGACATTTAATATGGGTCCTTCTGCCTAAGTGAAAACATTCCCTGGCTGCAGGAGGTGACCCCTCTAATCACTAGCCTGGTGCTCTCTTGGTGGAGTTCTTGGTAATTGTCTGAATTCTTTGTTCTTAGAAGGATCCGTCCCTCTCTGACAGCTCCACTGTTGGGCTTCAGGTCTGTATGGCAACCTTGCATGTCCCATGTCCCTTTTCCAAACTGATCTGTCATCTGCTGGCTTTATTCCCATCTGGATAAAGGGCTACACTAACTACTAATCTCAGCTCTTTAAATAGCAGGAATTCCGTTTGTGGACTGCAAAAGTAACATCTGGTCTAAGTTCCCAGAAAACCGACTAACCTATTAATTAACAAGAAAACATGGTCAGACTTGAACTGGATTCTCAGCCCCACTAGTCAGGCAGTTTTTCATGTTTTTTCACAGCAGAACGTTCACCCTCCCCTGTTGTGACATCAAAGCCTGCAATGTGCTGGGAGTACTAAAGAGCCCATCCTGAGGGGCGGGGAGCCCTGGCTGTGTGCTACTTATCAGGAGGTTCTTGGCCTGTGTGCTGATTATTGCCTGGAGTATTTTCCGCACTAACTCCTCAGGGCTGAATTGCCAACATTCTGTCTAACCTCAACTCTAGCAAATGCTCACTTCCTTGCCTGCCTTCCCTGTTTCTACCACATGGAGCTGCTAAGCACATAGGAGACACTGGAAGAAAATAATTTTCCCAGAATGTTATCCAGCTCCCAGAATCTGACTTTATTTAACAATGCCTTTACTGACTAATCTCTATTCTCTTCCCTGAATATCTTCTATTCAGCTGAGACTGCCTCTCACCCTTGGTCTAGAGCTCTACCTCACTTACTGCTGCAGTGACAGGAAGAATGGGACAGTTGTCCGAGGCCTATGCCTTCTTTAGAACATTGGAGCTAGCCTCCTCATCTGGCACTTTTTCCAAATGACACGACTGGCGCTTCTACCTTTAGAAGTCGTCACGTCCCTCTGGCTAGCCAGGCAGTCAGTCACTGCTTCTTCTTTGTTGCTTGCTCAGGGAAGTGCTATTGTACCCACTTCACTGTGTCTGTGTCTCTGGCTGCTCCCAGCGGGCCTCGTCTGGTTGGTTGCTGTGGTTGGTGAACTCCCACCAGGCTACACTGAAGCCAGCAGACTGCCTCTACTACTATCTTTCTTAGTGGTTCAAGTCATGCTTTCTTGTCTGCTTTCTATACCAGGTGCTCCAGCATGAGATCAAATCACCAGCAGGTTACAAGGCCCTCAGCCCCAGGGATTGGTAGATATGTGTGGTCTGGCCTGTTTTCTAAAGGGCTCAACAGACCAAAGCTTGTTGCCTACCTAACCTAGGTTGACAGCTCAGAGTAGCTCTATGAAGTATAAGGGGTTTCTCCTCTGGGAGGTTAGCAGAAAGGACTGGCTCAGTTGAGAGGTTAGGGACATATGTGTGCACACGTGCTCCGTCTGTAACTAATAGAACGTGGTGCTCTGGTCCCTCACCTTTTGTTCTTAACACAGGTTGTGCCTGGGCTAGGGGCCTCTCTCAAAGAAACAGCGCTTAGGGAATCTGCTGCTGACCGTCACCTTAGATGGGAGGGCTTTGCATGATAGGAACGTATTACCACTGATGTTATTGATTTCTCAACAGCAAGAGCTTTCAAAGGCTTCCAAATCTGATGCTACGTGTCGAATCCTCAATTCAACCAACATCCAGTCCTGAGAAACCCTGATCAGTCAGCTGGCTGTGGCCTCCTGTGTCTAGACTGGACCTAATTAAATAGGGATAGCTATAATTATTCTTCAGGTTAGGTTGGATGGATTCCATTACCACGGACTTAACTTGAAGATATAAGTGTTACAGATCAAAGTCCCATCCATGGACTCCTTAGGAACTTGTGGATTTTGGTTTTTGTTTTTTTAACTCAAATACATTACAATGTAGTTTATAAGTGTAAATTGTAGCATGAGGCCTAGTTTCCTTATGTACTCTAGAATCCCACTTACCGAAGCATGATCCAGGGTTTGTTTGATTTCACCATTGTGCAGGAAATGATCGCTGTGCCCATGGTGGGGTGTGGGACATGAAGTAATTCTGTCTTGTATACTTGTAAAGCAGTTCACATCTTCTTTAGGCATGTTCAGTTGATGCTGTCGCTGTTCGCTTTGTTCTCCCTTGAAGGCCTGTCCCTACCACGCAGAGCAGCCTTTCTTCTCCTGGTGTTTTTGTGTTAGAAGCTGAGGTGGCCTGACCTCCTGCCAAAGAAGTGACAGGGAGGCTGGGAGCACCTTTGTTAAGTTGTGTACAGTTGTGTTAATAAGTGCAATGACCTTTGTGGGGCTATGTGTATGTGAACACATGGGCTTGTCTGAACTCATGTTTCTTTAGAGACTTCTCCAGGCCCCTTGCCCTCATCCCTGTGCCCACTGTGTGTGAGGTCTCCCACCCCTTCCGTTTTGTTAGCTGTTTGGATGGGGAGGGGCAATCTGGAACTTTGCACATGTCCACAGTACTGGGGTGGTGCTCCTGGTATGGTGTCTATGAAAACACTCTTCCTTTACCTACCATGTCTATCACTACAGCTCTCCCCAGAGCACTGTTATTTATTCATACTCTGCCTGGGCACCAGCACTACTGTTAGTTAGCACACTAAATGGTTCTCAACATGTAACCATGTGGACTCAGTCTGTCTTATCCACACTGTCCAGCAATCCATATCAATGTCCTGTTTTTAAAATATATTTTAAAAATAAATTAAAAATGTGTATACTTAACATTTTAAAAAGACGTACTGTGGTGTTTTTTTTCCCTCCATATCACTCTTTGGTTGGTTTGGTCTGTCAAAAACAGAAAAGACTAGAAGGATGTACAAGAAATGATTAGTAGGGAGTGTGAGTTTTATATCCTGTGCATTGCTTTCTGAAGAATACTTCTTAGGCATGTGGTGGCGGGGCTACCTGCTGATATATGCAGAGACTAAAGTAATACTCAGAATCTTGTTTCACTGTTCTTTGTCATATTAACAAGAATACCCTTTACAGGGGCAGGCAACCTTCAAAAACAAAGCTAAAACATAAAGTTAATATAGTTAAGGTGTATACTTTGATAAAATTTGACAGAGTATTATACCCGTGAAACTATCACCACAATTAAATCAGTGAGCATATCCATCACCGCCCAAAATTTCGTTTGCTCCTTTATGATACTGCTGCTTTCCCACTTCTATCCCCCAAGCAACTACTGACCTGCTGTCACAATGCATTAGACTCATCACACTGTACTTCGTCGTTGTTCATTATTTGAAAATGCACCCATATTTTTGCTTTTATTCCTAGTTCATCCCTTTATATTCCTGAATAAATTCTCATGTTTCTTCACCTGTCATGGACATTGCGGTGGTTTCTAGTCTTTGGCTATTAGAAATAAAGTTGCTGTGAACATTGTAAGGACACATATTTTTCTTTGGGTAAACAGGAGTGAAATGGCCGGGTAACATGTATGGTAGGAACATGTTGAACTTTTTAAGAAGCTACAAAATGTTTTCCAAAGTGGTGGTTTCCCCATTCATTCCCACCAGGAATACAGAAGGCTTTCAGGTTCCTCGCGCTCTCCCCATCACGTGATGTGATCACTCTTTATGGTTTCATCCATTTCAGTGGTTGTGTAGTTCTGTCTCATTGGGATTTAATTCGCACTTCCCTAATGGAGTCCTGGAAGGAGCTCTGGTAGCGTAGTGGTTACGAATCGGGCTGCTAACCAACCTCAGGGTCCAGCAGTTCGAAACAACCAGCTGTTCTACAGGAGAAAGATGAGGCTTTCTGCTACTGTAAAGAAACCCTGCGCAGGGTTGCTATGAGTCGGAACTGACTTCGAAACTGACTCCACGGCACAAAACAACAATGTGATGGAGTCCTGGTGTGGCACTGTGGGTTAACGTGCCAGTCTGCAAAGCCAATTGAACTGCAAGGTCGGTGATTCAAGCTCACCAGCTGCTCCTTGGAAACCCTATACAAGGTTGCTATGGGTCGGAACCGACTCGATGGCACTTAACAATCTTAAGTGTCTGTTAGACTCCTGGTGTGACGCTGTGGGTTAATGCACTGGCCTGCAGACTTGGTCTGAACCCCAAAGTTGGTGGTTCAAGCTTACCAGGTACTCCTTGGAACCTTACACAGGGTCGCTATGGGTCAGAACTGACTCGACAGCACTTGACAACAGTAAAGTGTCTATTACCAAACCCAAGGTCATGAAGATTTAACCTTATGTTTTCTAAGAGTTTTGTAATTTCTTCTTCAAGTTACTGTTGTCTTTTCTGTTCCACTAGAGGACGAGACTCCATTCAGCAAGTCTACTAGTGAAGTGTCGTCTCAGTTCCCCCAGAATGTCTTCATCTCTCCTGCAGTAGTGCTTAAGGGTAGTTTCAGCAGATAACAGAATTCTCGGTTGAGCGTTGTTTTGTGTTTTTCCTTTCAGTCATCCCATGTATTATAAATCTACAGTAATCAAAGCAGCACACAGCATGGATGGATCTTACACTGCTGACTGAAACAAGACAATACACAGAATGATTCCATTTACTTCAAATTCAGAAGCAAAGAAATGAAACTAGATTGTAGAAGGATGTAGAAGAAAGACAGTGATAAAATTGTAAACTGTAAATAGGGAAGTGGATGATGAGAGGAAAATGACCCTCTAGAGATGCTCACTCTGGGCTGGGCATCAAAATCATCTGAGGTGGGGGCTTTACAACCTGCCAGTGTCTACTCCACACCCCGAGGTTCTGACTTCACCATCTCTGCGATGCTGCCCTGGAGCACCAGAGATTTCAGAGCTCTCCAGGTGTTTCTAATGTACAGCGTTGGGGATTTGCTCTATGAAGGGGAAGGAGGGCAGCGGTGCCACTCAGAAAATGGGTGAATTTAGGAGTAGCCTTTTATGTTCAGTCTCTGAGCGCATAGAGACTGGATCAGCTCTTCCCTTTCTCCTCAGCGTACACGTAGGTGTTCCAGGGGCCACAGGTCACAGCCTTTACATGGAGTTGTTTATCCACGAAGTACTCCACACGGCAGGGGCGATCCAAGCTGCTCGTGTCCTTGTGGCCAAGCTGTCCGTATTTACCTGAAGTGAAAGGAGCCCTCTTGCCACTCTGTTTACTGGACTCTTAAAAAGAGAAAACAGGAGGGCAGCTGCTGCCCTCCCTACCCTGCTGCCCCTCCCCGGTAAAGCAGGGACAATCCGGAGCCCTGAGGCAGCAGCCACTCTAGGCAAGCTGTTGTTCCAGGTCTCCAGGTAGCTAGGCTGGGCTGTTCGGAGCAGGGGTCCCTATTTTATCTCTAGTGACAGACTCAAAAAAACATTAAGAAATCCTGGTTAAATACGAGGGGGCTTCAAAATGTTGTTGGAAAAATTCCACTATCTTTTCATTCTAGTTGTCCACAAACTTTCTGAAGCCTCTAAGTAAATGTTTCAGAATCAGGAAGTACTAGTAGCATCTCCCCATTTCTCTTCGGTCTGGTCTCTGACCTCCCAAATGGACCTAGATCTTTTCCAGTCCCAGGAAGAGAGCGCTCAGCCTCCGTCCCAGACCTCTTGCGGCTCCTGCCCCCCTTGGTTTAAGCATCACAACAGCAATAGCTTTACTTACCCCAGCCCCAGGTGTAGAGCTCTCCTGATCCTATCACCAAAAGACCAGAAGCATCTCGTCAATAAATGGAGTTGGGAAAACTGGATTTCCACACGCAGAAAAATAACCCAGTATTTATCCTCACACCACACGTAAAACAAGGATTTAAATATGAAATCTAAAATCATAACACTCTTAGAAGAAAATGAAAAGGCACTGTTATCAGGCCTAGCTTTTTAGCTAATAAAAGCACAAATAACAGCAAAAGGCAAATAAATGGGTCTTAAAACTTTTGTTCCTCAAAAGACTGCTAAAGATTATGACATCAAGAGAGAGAGAAAATGATGACTCTAGACTCATGGGAAGAGAAAGGCCGTGTGCCAGTGGCCAGGAGGCAGCCTTGCAGAATGTGCCCTTGGGTGGTTTAAATGATTAATTCCTGAGTGTTTTTGTATACATCCAAAACCAAAAACCATACTGTTGAATGGTGATGTATGGAGGAGACTGTAATTATTGCAATGAATCAAAATAGGATGAGTGCAAAATTGATGTTCTCCCATGTAAACTATCACTCAGTGCACAATAAAAGCTTTGAAAAGAAAAAAAAAAAAGACTGCCAAAAAAATAAGACAAGCTACTGACTTGGAGATTATCTTCAGAAACTACCCAACAAGAATCTAGTAACGAAAATGCATATAAAACGTTAACTTGACAACAAAAAGACAACTGAAATCATAAAATGGGCAAAAGATTTCGAATGCACACTAAACAAAAAAAGATTCTCAAAATTGTTAGCTATCAGAGCTGCAAATTGAAACCATAAATGAGCTATTTCAGTCCCACAAGGATGACTGGGAGTCTTCTTGCGGCACTGTAGGATAGCACGGGTTCAAATCCATCAGCCGCTCCTTGAAAACCCTACACAGGGTTGCTATGAGTCGGAACTTACTTGACAACATTAACTACAGCAACAAGGATGAATATGATTTTTTTAAATTGGGCCCTTTAGTCACTGCTGGTAGGAAGGCAAAACAGTACAGCCATCCTGGAAAACTGGCAGTTCCTCAAAAAACAAAAAGCTGCCAAATGACCCAGCAATTTCACTCCTAGATAAATACCCAAAAGGCTTGCCAGCAGACACTCAGACACGTGTATGCCAATGTTCACTGCAGCATTATTTAAAATAGCCCATAGGTGGAAGCCACCTGACTTGTCCATCATCAGATGAATGGACAAACAAACCGTACACACACACAGTGGATTGCTACAGTCTGGATGGGACTGAAAAACATGCTGAGAGAAACAAGTCAATCACAAAAAACTACTGTATGCCTCACTTGTATAAAAAGAAAAGTATAAAGAACAGTAGTGACTCTTACAGGCATGAGGGGAGGCAGGTACTGATGGTGCTGGATGGAGCCCACTAATTAAAGGGAGGGGTGCACAGCCAATTACTGTCACTGTAATACTAGTAAAAAGTTGTGTGATGATACATAAGGGGGCTTCAAAAAAAGTTTGTGGAAAATTCCATTGTCTTAATCCCATTTTCCAGGAGCTTTTTGAAGCCGCCTCGTATTTACAACAAATTTAAAACAGCTGTAGATGCTGAGGCTGCTTAGGTGCAAACACTTCATGAGATTCGGTTCCTTGATTGGGAGGTTTAGGGCCAAGTTAATGTTCCCAGCAATGTGTTCAGGGCTGCCGAGTCAGTTCAGCCTTAAAGTGAGTGGCCCTGTATTGCGTTTCTGAGGAGAAGCTGGTGGGTTTGAACTGCTGAACTTTCGGTAAGCAGTCCAGTGCTTATCCTACAGCACCACACAAGGAGTCCTGTGTAGTGCCTAGGGTCCTCAAAGCAAGCAAGCCCCCACCCAATCCAAGCCACGACAATTGGGAGGACGAAATGGGCGTGTGACTGAAGAACAGCTGCCTCCTGTGCAGACAGTTAACCTGCTTACTGTCACTGACCTTCTGGTCAAAAATCCTATAAAATAATCCTGGTCAAGTGGTGATGGGGAAATGCAGAGCAGAATTTCAAATTCTCATGGAATCCAGCCTTTCTGGAGCCACAGAGGTGGGCTGAACCCCTGAAATTAACGCACTGAGATAGTCTTTTAAACCTTGAACCAAAAATATGCCCTGAAGTTATCTTTAAAACAAGTAGCTTAACTAGTAAAAGATCTCTGCTTTCAGCATTGTACTCTTTGAAGGTCTATTTATGAGATGAAATGGACAACAAGGTTAAAGATCAGACAGGAAACTCAAGGGGCAGTGAGTTAGTTAATGCTCACAAAAGAGGGAAAGAATGTTTCGACACAGAAGAATGTGATCAGTGTCAAGGAACCGTTCATAGAGAAACCATGTTTTCTGTATATTCTCATTCTCCATAATTACAAACCACACCAGCGTGAGTGGCTGTCACACTCACTCTGCTCTTGGGCAGTTGTTCTGCCTGACCCAGCACAACTCACAACGAGCGGCACTAGAATCCTCATGAGCTTTGCCTGGCAGAGAACAACGTATTCCCTCACCTTTCACCAGCTGTCTGATTACATGTGGTGTGGTAACGGGTCCACACGGCGTCTCACACCTCTATTTCAGGAGTTTTAGAAGCTGGACTGACTGGCCTTGGTAGGGGTGGGTGGATCTATGTGTGGAGGCTGGAGAACAGGTTAGTTAATACTGGGGCTGACAGGCCAGGGCTGTAACGAAGCTAAGACAACTACTCAGTATGTATCAAAGTGTCTAAGTTGGTCCCACTCAGCCCCACTCACGTGTCACCACAGCGGTGTGCCGGGACCCACAGCTGGCCTTGACTGCATCCAACTCCAAGGGGAGATCCAGTAGAGCCGGAAACGGCTGGACGGAGATGAAGGGGGCAGGGGCTGTATCCTCACCCCCAGCTGCTCCCGCCACTTCAGAACCATCTACGGTCAGCCCAGTGGCTTCTGAGGAACAACACACTGATGATGGGGATGGGGAACGTTGTCCTAATCCAGCCACGTGCTTACTTAATCCTCACCATGGTTCCATGACCTACGCTGTTACACATTGCCACCCTCACACCCTACAGCATGTGCTGGAGTTGACAGATTTACAGGCAGTGTCGTGCTGGGCTAACTCTGCATGAGGGGCTTAGAGTCCGGGGGTCCTAATTATGTCCTACGTTCCTTCTGCACACGAGCTTGCAGGCCAGCACATGGCCAGGACTGGGGTGGCAGAAACGTCCTAGGAAAATAGCTGTGGGAGTCAGGGTCCTCACCTTCCTCTGCGGCTGTCTTCCTTTCCACCGACAGGGTCCTGGAGGGCAGGGCCAGCTGTCCTGATTCATTCCAGCCCCAGATATAAATATCCCCAGACTCTGAAAGGGAGACAGAAGAAACCCCTAGAGCAGACTGAACCCATCTCCACCTCCTCTGGGCTGCCTGAGGACAACTAATGCCCGGTCTAAGTGGGAACTACAGGCGAAGGTAACTCCCTTTGGGCCCAGGCTTCCACCCTTGTGATAATTAAGGTCTTAAGTCTCCTTGGCTGGGCCAGGATGCTCAGCTGGTTAGCAGATAAGATGTAATCACCACCCCAAGAGGAGATCTAACAGAATACAATCCACCCCACAGGGGTGTGCTCAGCCCTGATCTGACTTAATTCTCCTGGGAGGTCAAGCCACACCTCTATATGTTAATGAGGTCAGATGCAGTCTATAGGGTTAGGTTGCACCTTGAGTGAAGCTGTTTTTGAGATACAAAAAGAGAGACGTGAACAAAAAAAGGACCACTGTCATCAAGAAAGAAGACCCAGGAGTGGACTGCACCCTGCACTGTGAAGCTCCTCCATCCAAGGGAAAACACATAGAGATCGCCAAGGAACACTGAGCCTACCGATGCTGAGAGGAAATAAGGGCCTTTTCCCAGAGGCGGCACTCTAAATTTAATCTGTGAGAGAAGAAATGTCTGTTTTGTTGAAGCCATCCACTGTGGTATTTCTGTTATAGCAGCCCTAGGGAACTCTGCCGCCCCCGCCTCAAGTGCCATCTTTTTCTACAAATCTCCTACAGCATCCGTCTCTCTGTTTTCATTCTTTTTGTTACTAAGTTGTGCACATGCACACTTCGGGAGTATGAGCCTGGAAATTATCTGAAGGTTTCCCTTTTAATCCACGTAGCCTTGCTCCCTTCTTCAACCCACCTTGCCACTGGTCCTGGTACGAGCCTCTTCTTGAATCTCTCAAGGCTCTTGCCTCCCACAACACTGTACAGCCGAGTGTTTTAGGCTAGAGCTGGGATGGGAAACATTTGACCCACTGAATCATTTAGTCTGGCTCTGCCAACACAACTGCAGTTCCAGTCATCACATTGTTGTTGTTGTTGTTAAGTACTGTCGCGTAGATTCTGACCCATAGCGACCCTGTATAGGTTTTCCAAGGAGCAGCTAATGAGCTTGAACCGCCGACCTTGCAGTTCAAGCTGCTTTGCAATCTGGCGCATTAACCCACAGCGCCACACCAGAACGCTGAGTTAATTAAATGTTTGACCATATACAGTGGGCTAATTTTTAAGCTGATCATTTTGTATGGCCTGCAAATGTTACACATTTGGGCAGAAAAAAGGTTTCCCACCTCCAGGTCTGGGTATGGCCGTGCAAGGTAATGCGCTGGACTGCAAGGCCAGGTTGAACTGCAAGGTTGGTGATTCAAAGTCACCAGCCCCTCCTCAGAAACCTTATACAGGGACACTATGAGTCAGGACTGACTCCACGGCACTTCACAACAACTGCCACCACCTCTGGGTTAGAGTAATAGTCCCATTGCTAAAAATTTAAATGCTTAATCTGAATCAGTGTTCTAAGCACTTTTCACATATAATGATTAGTTCTGCATTAATTACAATATCTGCATTTTACACAGTACTCCCACTTTATTCACAGGAAAACTGTTCAAGGTCACAAGGGTGGGAGTGATGACTGGAACCTCTACTCCAGTCACTACACCAGTTTTAAGGCCTCAACCTCCCTCTGGGCTGTAAGTGTAAGGTTCCCAGGGGGTCCCGCTTTTAGCCCTTGGTTTTCTTCCCCCCAGACCAGTGGTTTTCAAATCTGGTTGCCAACTCAAGCCCCACAGCACGAGATCCTAATAGGGCTTCAAAAAGTTCACAGGAAACTTCCATGATCTTGTCATTGCTTTGTCCACAGACTTTTTGAGGCCCTCTCACATGGAGAGAATGCAGGCAAAAGCTGGTTTTCAAACACTCTGGTGATTTATAGTATCAGCTGGCTGCTTGCTCTCAGTCTTGCACTTCAGGATGCACGCCAACCAGGATCACCTGTTCTGTTCGGCTGCACCGAACACAGTCCAGATGAAACCAAGGCCGCCAGTGGTGGCACCCCCGAGACTCAGACTTGCCACCCTCTCCCTCCTTATGGGCATCAGTGCCACCTGAGCAACTGCAGTTTTTCTTCTCCATGCCCCTCGCTCCCTGAGAGAAAGCCCTGGTTATGAGAACCAAACACAGCAAACAAACACCAGAGATGGACACACACGGCAACACCAGCCAGAATTCAATCCAGATAGATAAGTAGCCAGAGTAAAACAAATTTGGTTGGTTGGTTGGTTGGTTATGTGCTGTGGAGTTGGTTCCGACTCATAGTGACCCTGTACAGGGTTTCTGAGGCTGTAAATCTTTACAGGAGCAGAAAGCCTCATCTTTCTCCC